GTTAGATGCAACATGCACTGTACATTAGAGAAATGTTACCTTTTAAAATATATATTTATAAACTTGTAAGAAACAATTGATAAATTGATATTCAGATAGTATCGCCATAAAGCTTAAGCTTATTTAAGTTTTTCATGGGCAAATGCATGTATGCTTAGATATATGGAAGATAAATTGAGAATATTTTCACTTGGCAATGTAAATGTAACTGTGTCCCCATTCCAACCGAAACCGCTCCAAATGCTTAATTTAATTTTTACTCCGTCAGTACAAAATATTCTGATATATGACATGTTCCTAAGAAAAAGGAAGGCGTTTGTGTGAAGACTGTCACAGTGGGAGGAAGAGTCCCGGTGGAGCAAGGGCGGGTAGTGATGATGCACTTGTCTGACACGTTAGCTTCTGTTCCAGGAAGTTACTAACAACATTTTGTGTTCCATAATAACAGCTTAAATTGCTTCTTGCCCAGAAAAAATACAGTACATTTCTTTTGTTTTTTCAATTTTTTTCCCGAATGCTTTAAACCAGTGAGGAGACTGGGGATAAGTTTCCTTGCTCAAGGACACTATGACAAGATACGTGGCTGGCTGATGAATTCAAACTAGCTCTTGGGATGATCAAACTCTTGACCTTGTACGGTCTCTCCAATCACTAGGCCACCCGGCTGCCTGACACTCTGAAAATCATTCAGTTTGAGAAGCTTGTGTATCCAGCTGTGTAGCCACCTGTGTAATCTTATAGACACTAACTGGTCATGGCAAAAGTGTCATGTCCTATGTAATCTTCTGCATCTCATTCATGATCTTCCGAGGTGGATGCATTTTGTCTCAGTGTCAGCACTGTGCAGTGGTGCTTAAAATGCACATTTTCCACATACAATTATTATGATAAAAAGAACAGCATGTGTTCATAATGCCTTTTTATCTTGATTTGAGTATAATAAGTAACATTAACAATGAAATATTGCTCTAGGCAAGGCAGTTTTAGCTTGAGTATGATTTTCACCAAGCTTGAGCATTTAAAGCATACTAATTCTGATGTATTGCAGTTGTTTCATAAACTTCAATGTTCGCCAAACCTATTTGGAACAGAAAACAAAACCAAACCAGACAATTATGATCTAAACTGTCCTTTGTACATATCTATCACAGTTTGCATATTGCACCGAATTGTGGTTCATTAAGAGTATTCCTGCTTCCAAGATTACCGTGTCCCCAGATCTCAGAAATTACTTTATGTTTTTTATAACTGATAGAAATGATGAACTGTGAAAACAAGAGTCCGGACTTGAAAATTTACAGTGATGAAATCCCAAGTCTGCATTTATAAGCTAAGTTCGACTGGCTTAAAAGGTGAATCAGCTAATCAAAACTGTGGCCTGTCTCTATCCATTTTGTAATCCTGTATTCCCAGCCATACATCATAGCTCTACAGCTCAGTTGAGCTCCAGTCCTGGTATAAAGGTCAGTAGCTCCAGGCTGTCCGTCTGTCTGCCTGCATCTCTCTCTTTTTCTCCGCTTCTTGAATGCCTAAATAAGAAAGGTTAGTAGACTCAGCTGCTCTTGCTTAAAAGGTCATGTCGGAGAGCAGACAGCAAGCATCCTGGATACTCTTATCAGTAATATTTGTCCGGTAGTTTGCTTTGGCAACAGGTACTGTGTGTCTGAAAGTGCCTTCGTGTCCTTTGAATATCTCCACTGGCCGCACAGGCATATACTTTTGGGATACGTACTAGTTTGCACTGTAGAGAAATACTGAATGTGGTATTTGTGTGGTTAGAGGCACAAATCCAAATGATTGTGTGGAAACTTTGCGGCCAGCCTTGATTATTAGCCAGTGCATACACTGGTGGAGGGAGGGTGTTGAGTGGTCCCATTAAAACTTAAGATTCAGCTCATCTAGGGAGACAGCTGTGTGGAGGGTAAAGTGTGAGAATGAGCTCTGGTTTTGTCTCTCTAGTGAAAATAATGACTTGCTCTTTGTTTAGAGGCAGCTGTAAACAGTCACCATCCTAAATAAATAAAGTCTTGTACTGCTCTATAGTATATGCCATTTATGGTGACATATATATTATCCAATTCAAGCTAAATCAAGCAAACCTCATTTAATTATGTCATTACTACATAATGGCATGCAGATGAGGATGTTGTTGACCTGGCTTAGCCTTGGCATGTCAGTCAAAGTGGAGGGCAATTAAACTGACCCCACTCTCCACTAGAGATAGAGCACAATTGAGCACAAGAAAGAAGGTAGGATCAAGATAAATTTGAAAGACTGGGGCGCACCGTGAGACAGAGAGAATATGAAAATGAGAGACTAAGAAAGTGGAAATGCCACCCTTCAGGGATCAACTAGAGGAGGAAAAGCGACACACAGAGAAAGAGAGAGAGAGAGGAATAGAGAGAAGGGAATTGAGTGGAATGGATGTGAACTGGAAAAGACAGAGCAAGAAACTGAAAGTAGGAGAAAGCGGTGGAGTTGAAGTGAGGCAAGGACCTAAATTTAGACATGGAAATCAGGAGAGAACAGCTGCCTCCTTCCCTCAGGAGAGACATTAAAATCAGGTCTGGGTGGCTAGAGGGGAGGATGGGAGAACCTACTCCACCGGCCAATTAGGCGCACAGAGCACTGCACTGTTCTAATATAACCATCATTGTGGCCCCTTTGGCCCTTTCAGTCCCACTGGACGTGTAGCACCAGACACTGACGCAGGGCTTATAGCAGAGGGATCCCCGGACTATTGTAGCTTGTGTAGGCACTAGTGCCATTGCAAAAGAGAAGAGAAAAGGGAAAGAAAGGCAAAAAGAAACTCTGATATTTCTGATCCTGATGAGTGAACTTGTAGTACAAATGGATGCAGTGTGTAGAGCATTGAGTGTTGTGAGAAGCACTCATTCTGTCTGTTTTACAACATCTTAAACTACACAGACGTGTAGAAAATATCGGTCAAAACATATCTACACTATAATATGTCCTATATATCTTACCACATGTATTCTTGCAGTACAATTCAAATGCTATTGAATCGTGAAGTGTTCTTGTTTTTATAGTCCTCGATGAAAATCTGGATCCATAAAACATTTTGGAAGCACCCATATTACCGGGGAACATGTTTATCACTTTGCCGTAAACAAATGTCATGTTTTAGTGTTTGTCAAAAGCAGACTATTTGGAGAACAAACTAGCAGATTATATTTTAAAGCATGAGTACAAGTTGAAAATACAAGTAAGCATATCACCAGAGTGTCTCCATCTTCAATGGCATTTTGCAGTGACACATCCACTGCAGTAATGAACGGAAATTATACACTCATATTGCCATATTGTGCACCTCACTCAAAAAAAAAAAAAAAATCATCATTGCTACCATTCGATAGGGAGGTTAACCATTAACTTCCCTTTGTGGCCAGCACAAAAGAAATAAAATGTATCACACTGGGCTGCATGTCGAGTGAGAAAAATGAGAAAAAGTAAGTGATTTAAAGAGAGGAAGTAATAAAGAGAGCGAGGGCAGGCGCAGGAGAACGGTAAATCGTTGGCAGATCATGCCTCATGCAAAACTTTCATGAATAAAACATATTCCTAGCCTCCCATAGCTCGCATCCATTTTTCCTCCGTTTCCCTCCTCTTCCCTCTCTATCTCTCACATGCATGATTAACCTCGGGAGGCCTTAATCAACACTGGAAATGACCCGTGCTCCTTGACTTACCTCTCTCTACTTCTCCTTTCCTCCTTCACCTCATCCTCTCTCCTCTCAGCATGTCCTTCACAACGGGTCTGTCAGCGATGGGTTTGCCTCACCTGCTAACCCTGTAGGCAAGCGCTGTTTGAGGGTTTGTTTATCTTACGTGTGCAGACATTAACCAAAGTAAGGAGAACTGATGAGTGTTGAGGTGCTGAATGTGATCTAACACGTTAAACGAATGGAAAGGTGTCACACAGAAACCGAATTGAAAAGCTTCTCATTTTGAAATATTTCTTATTTCTTTCTAACCTTAGATATGTTTTCTTTCTTTCTTTTTTTCAATTTTATGATCCTTTCCTGGGGGTATGGTGGTTTAAGACGGGAGAGTTAGCTGGGGATGAAAAATCTTTCTTACCTAAGCCTTTATTCACACAGTCTTTAAAACCTGTCCTATGGGGATGGGGACAGGGATAGATTTATGGTTATTATTATTTACTTGCTTACAGCCTCCCTCACACACATACACGCACTAAAGCACACACACACACACACACACACACACACACACATACACACACCTAAACATACAAACACACACATACCTAAACATACAAACACACACTCACACAGCACTGTGAGCTGTCCAGAGTCCTGAAAATGGCAGACAGCTATCGATGAACCAGTTGCAAAAGCAACCTGTCCGTGGTGCTGAAAACCAGCTCTACTTGAATTATATAACTCTGTTTATCGTTCTGTTTCTCTCATTGGATGCATGCTTTAGACACACCTACATCCACACATGCACACACAGTCCACGGAGAATGGTTTTTAATTGGCCTTCCCTGTGTAGGCTGAGGTTTCGGGGTCAGCACCGCAGGCTAAATGCCCCCTGTGTGTTCTATGTTAGGGTCCAATTTAGCACACAGTAGTGACCGGCCATTGTGCCTGAACATTTCTTTTTTAATTAGGGTGTTAAGCTTTTTTTTTTTTTCCAAAGACATAAACCAGATTACCTCTCTTTGTCTTGTTGTGTGGTCAGGAGCTGATTTGCTCCTCCAGTGGGAAAAAAAAAGCATTTACCGGATAAATATCACATTACTTTAGAGTCTAACCCATAGTTTTAATTTTACATGATCGTCATTATGCTGCATTTAAATGTATTAGGCGAATTTAATTAACAAAGCCACCTTACAATTTGAGCGATAAAAAGACGTGCCATCTGTCTCCCTCTGTCTACCTCTGTATCTTTTCTCTGTATCCCTTTGATGCGTCCTCATTTCCTCTCACATGTCTCTCTTATGTGTCATGTTGCAGGCATCAGCGGTCAGTACCCTCTGGTTCAGAACATGACGGTGACAGAGGGTGGGACAGCGAACCTGACCTGCCGTGTGGAGTATAATGACAACACCTCCCTCCAGTGGTCAAACCCAGCACAGCAGACCCTCTTTTTTGGGGACAAAAAAGGTGAGTCGGAGATTGAAAGACGGCAGCAGCCACATGACAGATGCAGGCTTACAGAGTATTTCCTGTGTTAGGTTTGTGGTAGTGGGAAATGCACAAAACACACAAAAACTGGATTATTTATTTATTTATTTTTTTAGGTTGGCGAGACCAACCTGAAAAACACCGTCCGTATTTCTGTGTGTTTGTCACTTGAATAAGCTGCTGTCTTTGTTGTGTCATAGCATCTGTCCCACATTTCATGTGTCTCTGTTTCCTGACGTTGCTCTGCCTTCACATAGAAAAAGATATCTTTCTATCAGGAATGGATAGTATGTGGCTATTATTGTTTTTTGTTTTTTTTTACTTTATCCTTGAACCCTTTCACACACACACACACACACACACACACACACACACACACACACACACACACACACACACACCTAGACATACGTTCACATGCCCCTCTGCTAAGCAGAACACTTGTGTGAGAATAGATATGCCCAGCTGTCTTTCTGACTTGTTTTGCCTGAGGTTTGTTTGTTTGTTTGTGTGCGGTACATCTTACTTTGTTACTATTGTGTATGTTTGATATCGATTGCTTTGGTGATTGCTGCCATTGATTTATATTGATCTGAAGTACAATCGTAATCAGTGAAGTTGGAGTAGGTTGACCACATCCCATGTAAAGGAAGTTGTGGATCAAATCAGTTTCTTTTCTATAGTTATCTGTCAGAATAAAAAAATGCATGCTTTAATATTTGCTTAATATTTGTTGTTAGATAGAACATCAAAAAGAGCCCACACACTCTCAAAGTCAGCAGTTCACCCCGCTGTGCAAGTGACCTTGCACTACAATCCTGTGGTACTTAGTTTGTACTGCCTCCAGCACATACGGTGCAGCGTGAATTAGATTTTAGCGAAAAGAACAAACCCAAACACCTGAGCGTTAGATGGTGCAGCATTGTGGCCTTGTGTATCATTGTGTGAGAGCATTAAGGCACTAAAACATATCAAGGGAGGAAGGTTCGATTTTAGGGGAGTCACAAAAGTGGACCCTGACAGGCCGATAATACTGACTATAGGAAGGATTTCACTGATGTTTTATAAATCAGAAAAAGTTCACTTGTTAAAATCTGTTTACTCAAACTAATATTTCACACTTTAATTTAGGTATATTTTGCAATATAAGATAAGTTAAAGTAATTCTCACTTCAGAAGTATCTTTATTAAACTATTAATATGCATTATATTATATATACTAACAGATACAATAGCCTGAGAATGATGTGATCGGCAGAAAAGACTCCAGTCTCTGTATAATAAACAGTTTATATACTGGAAAGAAATTCCTTCCATTAAAAGGGTGCAAACCCTTGTTATCTTTGCACATATTTACAGACACAGAGATGCACACATACACATAGACACTCCAACAAATACATACACACACACACACACAAAGCCACCATGTTTTAATGGCTAATAAGTACAAAGCATTTATTCCTGACCTTTCACACCCTCTTCAGTGAAGTCCCCATAAAGAGGATTCATGGGTGTTATTTTGTTGGTTCATGTCTGCTGAAACGATTGTGCCCTGTGCGTCTCTCAGCTGTATTAGTTGAGTGTAACAGAGTATGAATCACACTCTCTTGTCTGGATTAAGCACATATGGGATTTACGCAGTCTTCTTCCTCTATTATCCTTCTGCCCACTGGGCTGCCTTGTGTGTTTGTGTTCATGCACTGTGTGTGTGTGTGTGTGTGTGTGTGTGTGTGTGTGTGTGTGTGTGCGTGCGCATATATGTTTGTTTGTATTTTTGCATACAGTAAGTGAATGCATGCATGTGCAAAGCATTTCAATTTTCAACCATTCACATTTTCACTTACCTACCTTTTATTCAGAAAGAGCAGCGGCAAAAGGCTGCATTGAATATCAAATTCAACAGTTGATGTTGTCTGCAGGTTATTCCATATCACACCAGGGGTCGGGCTTGGGGGTCTATTTCATGGCATTTCCAGTGCAGAGCTCTGAGATTGGAAATGAAAAAGCAGCCAAGGATTGTCATTATCAGAAAAGCAAAGGGATACTACTGAGACCCCAGAATTGTGTTGGTGTTTTGGGTCTGTGCGTGTGTGTGTGTGTGTGTGTGTGTGTGTGTGTGTGTGTGTGTGTCTGCTTTGGGACTTGTCTTGCTGAACGTGGCAAATTCAGATGCACATGCTGATGGGAGCACTGAGATGGTGAGTGTTTCCAAAGTGCCACTGGCAGTAAGAGAAAGGAAAGATGTCTCAGCTGCAAACGCCTTTGAGCGCAGTAGGTTTCAGATTAATTTTCCTTGCTGCCTGTTGGGAAGAAGAAGATGGGGATTAGGATGAGCACACAGTTAAAAAAAAATACAACCACCAACTCGCCAACTTTTCACATACTTTGTTCTCTTAAAATTAGTTGTAACAGAACAAAGGGGTAATTGTTAATTCAAAATCTACCTGCTAAGGTTACTGTTGACTCTGTGTAAGTATGAGTAAACACAGCATGAGTTCTTAACTGATTAAAAAGTAAAATAAAAAAAAAATATATATGTTTTATTCGGCAGTCAGTGTAGAAACCTGTACTGGAAAATGACCCATAATGAAGGTACAAACAGTTTCCTAATTAGTTATGTCTATGTGACTTTATCACTGCAGTCCAACTGAAAAGACGATACATAGAAATGATAAATCGTCCACTTACATCATGCAGAATACATTGATATGACAGATTTCTGTGTATGCAGGCAATGGAATCTATAATATCTGTTAATTCAGCAGATTGTTGTCTGTGCCTGCAACATGTGTTTGTGTGTGTGTGTGTGTGTGTGTGTGTGTGTGTGTGCCTGTGTGTGTGGCGTATCTCAAAGAGTGTCACTTGCATGCAGACCTCTACCAAAGTCAGCCGCAGAGCATTATTGGCATAAAGATGTTAGTTTTTCAAAGACAAATGCAGCAACTGTTTCCATTAGAGTCCTTTGAGAGGTGTCAGTTTTGTGGCTGTTGTTGTTTAATGTCAAGGCTGAGGCTCACCTCTAAGACGTTTAGCCGGATGAAAGAGACACCACTTGTCTTCCGTCCTCTCACAGGTGCTCCGATGGCTGTGAAGAGTTGTTTGAATTTCGAATAAGTCATTGTCCCGAAAGTAGCCAATTTTGTCCTTTTCCATCACTTACCACTGAGGGAGTTAAGCTGTGCTTCGACAGCGAGAGAGAAAGATGAGCACTGGGCAAGAGGGATTCTCTCTTTTATAAGATTCAAAAGAGGCTAATATCATTTTACAAATTGCTCTTTTGGTTTCATGTAATTCAAGACTTGATAATAGCTTTATTTCCTGGATTGAGAAATTTTGCATTGACGAATAATTACAATTTATTCGTTATTCCCATACTAGAAAGAACCTATGTGTAATTACTTTCCAGGCGAATTCGCAGACCTATTTAGTGGACTCGTGTGAGCAGTGGCTATGGTATGACATTTAAATCGTTTATTCAACACAGTTGCTGTAATTTGCTAACCCTTTTCCATCCAATTTCTTTTCTAACCCCCACATTTGTATTTTCATTTTCAACCTACTGTACTCCCTTCATCCCTTTCTTTTTTCTTTAATTATCTGTCCACCCATGCCCTGGAGTCTGGCCGGATCTTGGTTTACATGTCCTTTTAGGCATCATAAAGTATATTACAGCATAGGTTTGGTAGACCTGAATACATTATAGCTTTGTCCAATATGTAACTAATGTAGCAGGCACACGCAAGACGTTGTCATAGTAGAGATAACGTGGGTGCTCTGCATTATAAAACACACATTGCTTGCTTCATTATAGGTAGTGCTTTCTTCAAGGTCATATTTCAAGAGTCATTTTGAATTGATTGCATTTTTATTCTGGTCTTGACTCACTTTCTGACTGCAAGACATGATTTCAAGACTGGCCCAGCATGTACATGTAGCTCTTCCCCTCATTTGCATTATTTAATAAGAATTTCTTTGTTGTCGTTCTGTTTATGTCACTGGATCTAAAATTATCATTTTTAAAGGGATTAAAAGGTTTATTTAATGATATGGAAGAATGGCTATCAAAACATATATCGTTTTTGATTTTGTTTAAATATGAGCCAATAGCTTTTACATTAATAAATGTAGTATCAGATTAACATTTCTTCCACATAACCACTAAATGACCTCATGCAGTATATTTACACCAATATTCTTCCATACAGGCCATTATACTGTTGAGTATGTATTTCAATTTGATATGAAGTTATCCAAACATAATGAATATGGATTGTAGTTATACAGTGTCCGACATCATTCCTGTGCTGCCAGATAAATATAAATTTTGAGGCCACATTTATGGTCTTGAGTTAGATCAGTTTTGTCTCGTGCTGTTTCATGGAAAAGACACACTGACCATAAAAAGGTGAAATGTATTAGTTCATTCAGTTTTACTAGATGTAAATAGTAACCGTATCTGCAGCTTTTTGATGTCCAAGCGGTAATATGTTGATGATTTGCAAAATGACCAAAGTGCCCACTGTACCTGTGGTGGACATTTCCGCCTACGGTGTGCCATCTGCAGATTGATTGAATCTGTTTAAACATTAAGATTAGTGTTATGGCTGAACAGCTAAGGGCAAACTGCTCGTTTTTTCAGGCCCTAAGCTGCTGAATATGAAGCTATTCGGGTCCTCAGATGTCAAATATTCAGCTGTCTGAATCAATTTGCTGGCTGTTTGTGGTTGTGTGAGTATGTGTTTGTGTGTGTATGTAAGTGCACATAAGTGTGTGTATGTGGAATGTCAAGCATCCCACCTCCCCAGTATGCAACCATGAAAGCTTTGATGCATTCAGAGTATCTGTGCCTGAGCAATTTAGGGGATAGGCTTTTAAAAGTTTTCCAAAGTAAATAACAAAATAAGAAATGCCTGACAGACTTTTTATTTAACAGATAGCAGAACTTTCTCTCAAAACTTAATCTTAGCAGGGAAGTT